ATAGATTTCTTGCTTCTGCCACAAGTTCCCCCAGCTGTGAGCCTTCCAACCTTCTAAGTATTCCTTTATATGTGGTTCAGAGTTCTGGGACCAGCCCGTGAGCCTGCTTGGTCGGGAATTCTGTGTTGTTGTTGGTGGAGCTCTCTGCTATACGTCCACCCGATCCGCCATCTTGTTTGTTCTCCTCTATGGTTTTGAAACGCTCTGGGTGCTTCTTCCTGCCAAATGACAACATTTCCTGAGGCCAGGCTGAAGGGAGCCAATGATGTCTTTGCTGTTGAGTGCTGTCTATGTTGGGGCTCTCTACAGTCATTCTTCCCAGGACACATCAGTTCATTCTGAACCCAAGTCCCTTTAAATACGATATGCAGCAGCATCTCACTTGCTTGCTGCCTGTGGTCCAGGCACACAGGATTTGGGGGCTTGTTTTTGTGCTACTTTGCTAATCCATTACTGTCCGGAAATAGAAGGAGGTGTCCCCCTAGTGACCAGCTGGATCCGTCATTCCTGTGATGGGGAGTTGTAGGTCATTTTGCTATTGCCGTGGTGCTGTAGGCTAAGCATTGGACAGCCAACCACAAGGTCGGTAGTTCAAACCCACCAGCTGCTCCTTGGAAATCCCATACAGGGTTGCTATGAGTCGGAACCGACTTGACAGCACTTAACAACAGTAACAACCTCACTATAAGGTAGGTTTTTAGCAGCTGGGCCAGATTGAATGGGAAAATCATGGAAACGTGCTGCTTACTGGCTGTGGGACCTGGAGCCGGTCACTTGATTTCTCTGGCCCTTAGTGTCCTCTTCTGTAAAATGTGGATAATAGCACCAACCTTCTAGGGCTTCTGTGAGACTCAAATAAGATAACGCAGGTAAAGCGTTTAATACAGGATCAGACACAGAGTTCATGCACAAAGAACTCCTAAAGTGTCAGGCTGCAGTTAGCCTTTGGGAGAGGGGAAGGCTTGGATGGAGAAGCGAAAGGCCTTTCTAGCCAGCAGGCACAAACCTATTGCCATTCAGTCGATTCTGACTCATAGGTTTCCAAGGCTATATATAGGGTAATGCACTGGACTGTAAGGTCAGCTGGAACTTCAAGGTCGGCGGCTCAAATCCACCAGCTGTTCCTCAGAAACCCTCTACAGGGTCACTATGAGTAGGAACTGACTCGGTTCCAACAACAATCTTTATAGGAGCAGACTGCCATTCTCCCACAGAATGGCTGGGGGGTTTCAACTGCTGACCAACCGTTCGGTTAGCAGCTGAGTGCTTTAATCACTATATATCATCAAGGTTCCTTCTGGCAAGCATAGCAGATCTAACACTGAAACCCCTTGACCATCCAAGGTGGTGTGTGGACTGTGTGATTAACTGAGTTTCCTATCCTTGGAAGTATTCATGCAGAAGCAGCTCCAATAGGTTGTGAACAGAAAAGAGACACTTATGTGAACTTTACGGCTGGACAGAAAACTGTATTTGAAAGGGCTTTCTTT